GCAGTTGCTCCATTACAAGCAAGAGCCCATCGTCACATCTGTGGCTCACCAGAAGAGCCCTAAAGCCCACAAGAGGTGCCAGTTCTTTGGTCTACACCGCAGCCATGGAGTCAGTAAGTGACACCAGTGGCAGGATTGCTGGCTGCTGGGTTTCTTCTTGCTACCCAGCTGGTCTACCAAGCCAAGGACAAAGCTGCGTTTTCCTGCTATTCCCTATAGAAAATATTGAGTGTGGGTTTTTGGGGTTTTTAACAGGTTAACTCCAGCCTGCCCTTTCCATTCTCCATCTCTTTCCCTTTCCTTTTCCAAACACAAACTGCTAGTTCGAGTGAAAATAATGACAAGATAGGCAGAGGGTTGAAATTCAAGTAGGCAGCGTGATGGGGAGCTATTGGCGCCTGCTGCTAGACAGCCCTGATGAACCCTGATAAACTGCGGGACACATTACCCTTAGCCAGCTCTGCCCTGTGCAGAGATGCTTCTCAGCCTCCCTCCCCGTGGGGCAGCAGGGAGGGAAGAAATTCCCCCACAGGAACAGGTTATTAGCAACAACGAGCCCAGTAAACCCTCATTTTCTGTTTTCGAGCCTAAATTCCAACCAATCCAGCTGTAAGGCCCAGCCAACCAACATAATCTTTAATTCATAGCCTAAAAAGTTGACACATGAAGCAGGAGCCTATGGCTATACCTCAAGGCCCAGTGCCAAGAAACAGAGTTGGAAAAGCAGGTCACCCACTTCTGTATTTCTTCATTATCTGCCTTCTCTGCCCAAACTATTTGTTGGGCCAGAGGCACAGGAACATGTCTGAGCAGAAAGGAGGCAGTCCCCGTCGACTGCTCCAGGTACAAACCAGTCCCCTTGATAGCTCCACTGTAGTAACGGATCAGAGGGTTGCAAGACGGACAGATGACCTGCACATTGAAGGTCTCAGCAAAAATTTGTCTGAGAAAAAAGGTCAAGTACTTGGAAGATGGAAGAAGCCTTTGACAACAAGAGTCAGACTGCGGGAGTCCAGTTTCCACTGCTTGAAACAACCTGTCCAGTTGAGCTACCAGAAGAGCCTTTCCTAGCTTCTGGAGATTAACAGATATCTTCCCTTCAGATTTTCCAAAACTGAGCTAGAGGCCACAAAACATTTGCCCCACCTTCAGTGGAGCAAAGCAGAGGATCAGCTCCATTTCCACGGAAAACCATTAACTGCGATACCATCTGTGTATCCACAGCAGCAAGCGATCTGTAAGATTAGATGCTCCAAATCTAGGTTTGAAAGGCTGGAAAGGAGATTGGTGTCTCAGCTAGAGATGCCACCTCCTTACCCTTGTTTTTGAGCTGGTGTAATTTTAACTGATCTTACACCTTCAGGAACACACCAGCATATCCAACCAGTAAGGCAGATCTTCACCACCACTTTTACATTTGGAGCAGACCTCCAACCTAGCTCTTTCAAGGAAGTACCACTCTTGAAGATGAATCACCACTAAGAAACCAGGGAGACATTCATGCCGAGAGTTAAGCCACCTTCACGTCCTAGGTATGAGTTCTTAGGTTCAATGCACAAATATCAAGACATACTGGCGCTGCCCAGCTCAGACCTCTCTTCAAAACAATAAAAGATTTCTCGAGGATGCCCTCACCACACACACCACTCGGGAAACTCCCTGGGGCACACTGTTTGCGTGTTTCTAGTGACCTCGCCAAGCTACAACCGTTTCTCTGGAGGCCAGGCCAGGAGGAGTGACTCACTTGTCTCAACAGCTGCTCACATCTGCCTGCCCTTCCTGCCAGAGGGAGGATGCCTCCAACACCACGTCCCCACGAGCGGCGGCCGCTTCCCCACTGCACCCTGTTTATCGTTGCTGTGCAAGCACGCCGATAAACACTATTGCCTCTGTGTACATTGCAGTATCACCAGTAGTTGGCCATCCCACCCACCAGCAAAAGAGCAGAGTTACTCTTTATGAAAGAGCTCTCAGAAAGCAAGAGCTATTTCTGTTCATCCTAAATTCCTTGGCAGAAGCTACTCCAGGAGCCACCCTGCAACTGCCAGAAGCTATCTTATCTCAGGGAGTCTCGCCAGTGAACTGTAGGATATCAGCAGTCGTACGCAGAGCACTTTGAAACAGGGTCTGGGTGCCAGGGGAAGGAAGGGAATTCAACCCAGCGACTCAGGTTGTGGTGTCTGCCCAAAAGCCGATGAGAAGCACAGACACCACCTGCCCAGCAAACCACACATCATTAACAAGAACAAAGTCTGCTGGGACTGGAACCCTTCCTCCCCCCCCATAACTTTTAAGTGTCAGGCTCAGACTTCACAAAATGCAGTTTCCTACAGCTGAGGGACCATCATCTGCCTGAAAAAAATACCAAACGCTGACAAAAATAGGATTCCCAGCTAGGCCTTGTCCTCTAAAAAGGATGCTACCAATTACAGTAAGGAAAGCAAGCTCTTCTAAGCCAAGATTAACTACAATTAACAACGGGAAAGTTGAAAGAGACGGTGCGGAGGTACCCACCAGCTTCAGCCTGCCACTCCAACAAGCCCACACAGGTTAGCGCAAAAGCTGGCTCATCCCTCAGAAGATACAGTCATCATTTAGGGCAATATTTCAGCAACACTTTATAGGCTGTCATCGCTCTTCGTTAGACAGGGCCAGACCATCCCAGAAAACATCCCTCTGTTGACCTCAGCTACAAACACGGAAAGTCAGTTTGACTTAGCAGGGTCATCGATCCCATGCATGAAGCATCACCCTAGGTCTAGGCAACATGATGGCACGATTGTGCACAATGGCACCGACGGTTGCACAATTGTGGTGAAGCACACAGACCATGCCACAGGCTTGCAGTTTGGTCTCAAACACAGAACATCCTTGGTCTTACCTGAGATTCCTCAGTCCTCCTAGCCCGAGGAGTTTCTATGGATCCATTGATGTCCAGGGTGTCCTTCTGCTTGTATTTCCTCATGATCAAGCTGTCCACAACCCAGAACATAATGGCCTTGGGGAGAAAGAAGTTGCATGAACAGATTGCAGAGACCAAAATAGAAAGTCATTCAATCACAACTATTTCTTTTCCTTTTGGTTTCTCTAGATGTCAAGCCTTGATCAACATAACGTAATATCTAAATTAACCCTGCATCAAGCGTGTCCACGCTAGGCCAAGTTTCCACCAGGAAATAATAATCTGAACCAAGCTCCACCTGAGGTTTGCCTGCTCTGTCTGCATCAGTCCCTGGTCAGTTCTTTGAGAACCAGAGTTTGCTTTCAGATAAGGAAATGCAGCCTGGGGTGGGGAGAGAGGCTGGCAGCACAGGCAGGTAAACCCAACTTTGCCAATGCTGCATCCATCCAGGTATAAACTGAAAAGAGTTTGACTCACTCCTTGTCCAGGGGGGATCTGAATATTAACTCCTTGTTCTCACTTCCTTTTTTAGCAGGAACTAAGCAGCAGGTCAAGGATTACCCAGAATCAGGGGAACCAAGGAAAAAGCTGAGCTTTCAAGAGGTTTTACCAAGCTAGTTTTGCAAAGATCAATAGTTTTGGGTAACCTGAACACCTTGCCTTGCTGTGACGCAATTTGAAGTCTAGTCAAATGGCTAGATCGGCAGGTTGACAAAAGTCACCGCTATAGGAATGTAAACGGTTTTGGGGCATTCCCACACCTGTAGCTTGCTGCCGAGATGCAGCCCTCAGCTAATGAGCCCCAGCTTTCTTCAAAGAGTCAGCCACCCAGCAGCTTGGACAAGGGAGCCGGAATTAGGAACAGAGACCATGGCAAGGCAGTAGTGACATATTTGTGTACTCATGACAACAAATATACTTGTTTCCACTCCCCTCCACCCTGTCCCAGCCACCTCCGTTACCCAAGGCTGCCCCACGCCAGTTCCTGTACACGCTCCCCATTGGGGGGGACCATAATTTCCAAACCACCCCACCCAGTGCTTGCAGAGGCATCACTTACATTGACTATAAAAGGCACAACAAGCATGACCAGGACGAGCTCCAGCTGGGGGTTTGGGATGTAACCCAGGAGGATCTGCTGAAGCTGCAGAGCAGAAAGCATTTAGAAGCATTATTTGAACAGCTCTGTTGTGAGATCTTTGCTGCAAACTGGTTGCCTTCTCACACCATCAGTCTCCTAGCTAGGGCTCTGCAGCCTTTGCTTCAGCCAAGCTCTTAGAAAGATTACATGGGCTATTCCTTTAGCCCAGCTGCCAAACACAGGATTTTGTACAGATCAAGAAATAAATACTGCTAGTCTTTCAGTTTAACTACCCATGACAACTGGTGGGACTTTCCTTGGCTCCTTGGAGCCTAGCTGCAAAATAAGGACACCAGCCATGCGCGATAAGCGTGGAGAGGAATCCAGCAGCATCTCTGGGTCTAGCAGTGCGTGCTGCTGAGCAACATGTTCAGGTCCAAGTCAGCACTGTAGCCTACTGGGTTAGAAGGACAAGCTCTTCACAGGAACAGAGAAGTGCTCCCAGATTGCTGTAAATAACTTCTCAGTCAAGTCACATCAGCCTGTGAGGTACTAAGCACCACGTGTAAATGCACTCAATACTGGAGTTACCCATCAACACCCAGAATTGGTTTCTATACTCCTCACACCTACCTGCCACCAGGTATTTGGCTACAACTGCTATGGGATTTTTTTTTTTTTTTTTTTTTTTAAAAGAAACTCATGATCAACACAATTACCATTGCATGAGCCACCATACAGAGGCAGTTGGTGGGGGGGAAGGTGGGGAGGACAGCATACTACTGGGACAGTTCTTTCCGAATTAACCTCTAAGAGTCCCCCTAGTTTAGGCATGGGATCACGAAACACCAACATGAACTGACTTGACGAGACAATGTAGAAATCCTCTGGCAGAACCGAAGTGGCTCAGCTGCCAGCCCAGCCCATTTTATCCTTCCAAGAATGGAAAAGAAAATTAAAGAAGCATTTTATTCCACTAGCTTTTGACTAGCAAGAGAACGTACCAAAAGCCAAACTGTTGTGGAAGTCATGTTTCCCGAAACTTAAGTAACAGCTAATGATTACAGAGATGTCAACAAGTCATAAGGATTACAGACCTATGATGGGGACCACTAAGGAGGCAAAGCTGACAAGAAACAAGCCACAACAGCTGTGGCTAGAAAAAAAAAATACAGCTTAGGAGCTTACCTTTGTCCAACCAGGGATAAGCAGGACAAGGCTAATCACAGTCTTCTCAAAAACCATTATCAGCAAGTAGAGGATACACTGGCCAATCCAGGCAGCAGCTTGGGGAGGGTCACCTGGGAAAACAGCGTATTAAATCTGAGACGGAAGACAGGAGGAGACAGCCTTGCAGAAGAGTTGCCTCACACTTGATACCTGAGCTGATTAGAGGGACAGTGTTTCCATATTGCAAATTCTGCAGCAAGACAAATACTCAACACCAAACTTAAAACTAGTTGAGAGATTTCTATCTCTAGTTGTAGGAGCACATGCCTGGGGTAGAAAGGTTTGGGGTCCCTGCTGGGTGTACAAGTCGTTACTCCACTGAAGGTCAAAACATACTAAGATCTAGGCTCAAATCTTTCTAGTTTAAAAAAAAAAGCCAATCTGACTTGTATTAGAGAAAATTTAGCAGACTTGCATCCCTTATTAGTTGCAGCTCATTTTGCATCTTTGCAAACCGATGCAGAGAAATAAGCGCAGAAGGGCAAAAATTCACCCCACTTCCATTTGTGCAGACTCCCTTTATCAGGGCAGCTATTTGTCTTTCATACTGCAGTTGTGCTTTTGAATTAAACTTGGCTATAAGCAAGAGAGCCCTCCCTCATAAGACATGACATACACCACTACCACCACCGGCCTTTTGTTCTAGAAGCTGATTCTCTTCTCCTACTCCTTTTAGGGCTGATTCTGAAACGGAGATGGCAATTAACCAGACCTCTGGTTAATTTGAAGGGCAAGCAAGCAACAAATTTCAGACACAACTCAAAGTCCTACCTACCTAGCAGATGCTAACACTACGTGTATTGATCTGCCTCCTGTCCTGCTCTCCATTCCACCAACCTGCCTCTGAAATCCACCAAGAGGAGAAAGCCACGACCAAAAGCCTTTTGCCTTGCATCTTCTCCCCCATTGCCTGTCGCCTTCCTAGATCAACAGCTTTGCTGGAGCAAAAGTCCTACAAGTGTCCTACAAGGCAGGCAGTCAGCTTCTGTAAAAGGGGAGATACACAGCTCTGGCTCTGCCTGAAGACCTGGAATTCCCCATGTTTATCCAGCATCCCCAGCACTTGCAGACACTCCTGGGCTCTCAAGGGCCACAGCCCAGTATGTATCACAAGTCCTTAATGGAAAAGCCATTCCTGGTAACTCTGAGGAGATTTAATCAACTTTTATGAATCTTGGTTTGGATAACAAATATGCTCTCCTCCGCTTGGGGGAAAGGATACACAGCCTTGGAGATGCCTGTTTTCCCTCTCCTTCAGCCACCGATGGGCATTGCCAGTATCCTCCCCATGGTGTTGAGCTACTTTCAGCTAGATGGATACAGGGATCTGAAGGGAGGAAGCCCTGCTTGTGCAAGGGGGCGAGTATCCCATCTCCTCAAAGCACAGACCACTAAAATCCTATCCATAGGGAAAGCTTGAAAGCTCAGAAATCTCAGCATCCTCCTCAAACAGTTCCTTACAAGCATGTGTTGCTTCAGGGCATCAGTCATTTGGTTTGCCTCTTCTCTAGTACCCTTCTGTCAAAGTACCAGAGATTTCATTTCTCTTCACCTCAGCAAACCTAGAAAAGTCTACAGAGGTGGGTCCCCCCAACTTTTCCCCCACCTTTCCAGTGGATAGGAGCCTCATAGGAGTACCTCACAAAATCCTGGAGCATTTTGACCAGAATGGCAAACTGATAATCCCTTCTGAATTAAAGCTAATCCCAACAGCAATCCCCAAGACCAAGATATTGCTGGACTGACCCTCCTCTATACAAGGACCAGTCAGTATCCTGCACACTCCTCTATAAAAAGAAAAAAATAAATCAATCATTAAAGACATCACCTGCCAAGCCTTACCCCACCCAGTTGCCAGCAATAGCCTGAAAATTTCTGATCACCATTTTCAATACAAGAAGCATAAATCTTCAGTCCTAAACAGAATTAATTTTTTTGCTGATGAAGTGAATGGCTGGTTATGTGATATTCGCTGTCTGAGCAAGAGACAGGGGCTCCACTGCCCCAGGTTTTAGAGCAATTCACTCCAAAAGAATCAATAGTAATTAAATATGAATGTTTCCAGTGGGGTACTTGCCAAGTAATAAGTAAAAGCATATTTGTACTGTTAACGACGATAATGGTACCATATCTATTACATGTGCTCGCTTCAGCCCTCTGTAAGCACCCTGCCAGCTGGTTATCATCTTCCCGGGCTCATCAGAATATCTCAGGTCTGCAAACCTGAGCTACAGTATCTGGCTTAGGAAACCTGCAGCATTTCCTCCTACCACCTGAGTATAAAGATAAGCCCTGGCAACACTTGTTTCCAGCATAATGTGGCCGGAATTTGGAATTGCATCTGTGCAAGAGAACCCAACCCACCGTGAGATACCAATGGTCGACGCGCTGTCGGATGAGCGGACTGGGAGCTCTGCCCCACTTTTCTCAGCACAATACTGTTGAGACGTGGCAGGGGAAGACACCACCAGCAGTTTGCAAAAGCACATTTATCCAAACCACTATGCAAACCTCCGGCCACAGAGACCAGCAGCGCATACCGGGATTTAGTAAGAGCTGGTATCCAACCAAGCCCAGCTCTAGGGTGATCTGCTTCCCAGCAAGGGCAAAACAGATTTGCGTGTATATTTGTCCTTATTCTGTCATTTGTTAGCAACGTACTAAAACATTTGCCTCACTGCAAAGCTACAGCTAGGAAGTAGAGGCATCCAGCTAGTGACTCCATGCCAGAGACCTCAGAGTGATCACCTTGCATTCCAGCTTTTTAATTGCTCAAGCCGTGATTGAGAAGGAAGCAAAGGAGGGGAGAGGGAAGGACTGGGAGGCCAGAGAGGCTGCTGAGCTGGGAGGACAGCAAGCAGAGAGCGCCAGACCAGCAGGCAACTGCATGGAGGCGGGGAAGGAAGAGGGAGCCAGGAAGGTTACGTGTGAGCCCGCCGAGGATTTCAGAAAGCGCACGTCTCCGCTCCCTGGCAGGCAACAGCTTAATGGGTGGTCTGCGGAGGAGACTGGAGCAGTGTTATAGGCAGCTGGCAATTAAAGGCCAGTGTCAGAGAGGCTTTGATCCTCCTGATAAGACTCAGGTACCTGGTTGTCTTTGGCACAGGTTAGGTAGAGTGGGGCTTTTTGCCCCATACCCCAAGAGCAACCAATTCTTCTACAAACCCCCAGGTTACCATCACCCATCAGAGCTCCGAGTACAAACAAAACAGGAAAACAAACATATCCATCGTGTCCTTCCTGCTTCTTTCCCTTTTGCTCTGTGTTGTCAGCTGTGCTCCATCCCCCACGAGGAGGCAGGACTAACAGCCACAGGACCCTTTGCAAGACAGCTCTTCTGCGCTGCAGTCACGATGGCACTTGCGGAACACTTCCCTCTGTCATCTCAGCTTGCCCAAAAAGCAGCAGCAGGTTTGAGATCTCTCCCAAATACCTATTCCCCTCACACCCTTTTGGGGATAGGAGGTCACTACCATTCATCATCACAAACAGCAGGTTGTGGTTCTTAGTTTGGCATACTGTGCACTAGACAACCCTAGCCAGGTTTTGGATAACCAGGCTGATACACAGACACTAGAAAAGACAACCTGCTTCTTCACCCACCCTAGGCATGGACTTGTCCATGCCTCCAAGGTTAACAGCTCCTCACCCAAAAAAATTTTCCCTTCACTTCCAGTTTGCAAGAAAACCATCTTGAGTTTTCTTGAGGTTTGACAACCTTTGGAAAAGGAAAACCTTTTCTCCCTTTGCTAGAGAACAGTTTTCACTGTGCAAGTGCAAGATCCCACCTAGGGAACCCCAATTCTCCGAGACCAGAGGTCTGCCCCAGTTAGGCCAATTTCACTGGCTAAGCATACAGGGCACGTGCAAGTGGTACAGCAAGCCTGCACTACCAAGCAGGACAGACCTGCACCCCTTACTACCCACCACATCCCACCTTGTCAAAGGTGTCTCCATCACAGCATGGAGCTTCAAATATTCATATTTTTCACTCTGGTCTTTTCTGCATCACCTACAGAAGATGCTGTGAGTCTCCTCCACAATTAGAGGAGCAATCAGAACTTCTTACATGTCCAGGGTAGACAGTGGAAGGATACGGAACGAGATCCACAGACCTATGCAGAGGCCAGATTTGGCCATCTGCTCTATCACCTCAGGCAGCTCAAAATTGCTACTGTTTTGCAAGCTCTTCTTCCTCCTTTTCCATTCTGAGCTTTGTTTTCAGACTGTGGGATAAGATGTTTCTATACAAGAATCCATCCTGGAGCACAGAATTAGACAGGACTTAATTTCCACCCCCTGACAGGAAGATCAGAGGATGTCTCCTCAGTTACTCTTTACTGCATCTTGGTCTCCCAAGGACAGGAGGCTGCTCAGTACCAAAATAACTCAGGACAAAGATGAAAATGAAACAGCAGCATGGCCCACAGGGCTGCAAGGATGACTTCAGCTATAAATAGACAGTGGCTCGTTTCCTCTTCACCAAGGAGCTCAGCTGGCTGCTCCTTACCTCAGCAGGTCTGAAGTCATCCAAGGACCATTGATCCACCTCAGAGCAGCCATTATCCAAGTCTAACTCATCACTAATTCAAGGAGCTCAGCTGGCTGCTCCTTACCTCAGAAGGTTTGAAGTCATCCAAGTCATTGATCCACCTCAGAGCAGCCATCATCCAAGTCTAACTCATCACTAATTCGTCTAACTCTGACTAATGCCAGTAACATACAAGTCACATCTATTGGCATCAGCTATAAATAGACAGGGGCTCGTTTCCTCTTCACCAAGGAGCTCAGCTGGCTGCTCCTTACCTCAGCAGGTCTGAAGTCATCCAAGGACCATTGATCCACCTCAGAGCAGCCATTATCCAAGTCTAACTCATCACTAATTCATCTAACTCTGACTAATGCCAGTAACATACAAGTCACATCTATTGGCATCTCATCAGGTAAGAGGGAGCCTTTGGTGTGGTCCCTGTACAAGCCCATAAGACAGACTGGCCACATCTCCTCCTTCCACAGTTAGGAAGCAAGGCTGGAAAACTTGAGCTGATCCCAGCTAACCACGCACCTCATTTAGGTGCTGGCTTCCTACAACAAGATGGTCAGAGACATCCTCAGATACAACTTAATATCTTTAATGGAACAATGGCTGTCCTGAGGTGCCCCGCTCCACGGATGGGAGAGGATTCTTCTTGCATCAAGTGTTCCCATTATATAAATCTACACGAGTGCCTACAGGACTGTTTCTGCCACAAAGATTGCCAGCCAGCAAAAACTAATCTGCTACCTGGAGGCAAAGGGGAAAAAGAAAAAAAAAAAAAAAAAAGAGATGCCCTCCTCTTTGCTGTGTTCAGAGTTTCCCTTTCCTTGTAGGAAGAGTGGGGAACAGGTCCAAAGGATCTTTGCAGCCTCCACATCACACCTGTTAGGAGATTACGTGTATCATGCTCCCTTTGAACACTTCCAGTTCTTGTCCCCAGTCCTAGCTGGAAGGTAACCCAGGACATCTCAGCTCTACACAGTGACTCTACCACCAACCTCTCTTTTTAGCTTAAAGAACACCCTTTGCTCAAATCTTCTTATAACCATCTCCCACCCTGATACAAATAAATATTCTCCTTCACCCTGAAGGATGCACACACTGCATTTGGACCGTTCTCCTCCAGCAGCACTGCTGGTGCTCCTCACCCCACCATCAGCAATACCTCCTTGGTGCAGACCTGGGACCACTGGTATCTGCAAGAACATCACACACGTCTCGTATTCCACTTGTGCGTGGGAGCCCAACTGCTCACAGAGCAAAAGCAGCACTGCTTGAGGTATTTGAGTTGTTACCACACAACAGGATTAGTTTTAATCCAGGCTGTCTAATGTACCAAGCTGTCAGCACAGCCCACACGTTACTGCCAG